CATCACTTCTTATACAAGTGAGGGTAAAGTGCGAATCATCTGACTACCACTGGCCATCGTCATGATGCTGCGAGACCACCACAGCCGTAGCAAGCCAACGACACGTACCAAACGGCATCTCCGCGCCGTCTGCGACCTTCCGTCACCCCTCTCACGTCCATTTACAGGTACTTCTTGGGCATCGAGTTCTTTCTCCTCTTGTACAGCAGGTATCCGACGGCGAGGACGACCTGGGACCCGACAATGACGGCAATCAGCTTGCCGTGACCGGGGGCGGCCTTGACAATGTTGGACGAGAGGGTGGCGTGGTGGCCCTCCATATAGCCCTTGAGGGAGTGCTCCGTGCTCTTCATCTGGAGGTTCAGGTCGGTGCGCATTGCGCGGATCTCGCGCTCGAGGCCGTTGATGCGGCCCTCGAGGTCGTTGATCTTTTCGAGCTTGCGCAGCTCGGTGCGGAGCGAGTCGAGCAGCTGCGACGTCTCGGCGTGGCGGTTCTCGGCCTGCTGCCCGAACTTGTTGACGGCGCTGAAGATTGTGCCGAGGATGTGGTTGACGGACTGCAGGCGGTTGTGCAGGTCGGCGAACTGCGCCTTGGACGAGGTGATTGTGTCGGCGCTGGAGTCGGGGATGGCATTGAGGTCAATGGGCTCGTCGTTGCCGCTGCGCGGGTTGCTGGGCTGGCCGTGGTTGGCCTTTTGCTCGTGTGCCTGCTGCTGCTGCTGCTGCTGTTGCTGTTGCTGCTGCCCCTGATTCTGCTGCTGCTGCTCCCCGGCGTGGAGGCTATCGGACATGACGACCATCTTGAAAATCTCAAACGAGTCTGGGTTGTCGGCGCTCGCGGCCGTCAGGCCAAAGGTGTAGCCCGTGGGGATCTTGACCTTGTCGCTCTCGAAGCACAGACGGCCGTCAATCTCGACCTTGAAGGCGCGGTCGGTCTGGCGCAGCTTGATCTGGCTGGGACGGCCAAGGTTGCGGTAGTGGTACTGGCAGTGGCCAAAGGCAAGGGGGCTAATGTCGCTCTGGGCCTTGTAGTCGGTGGACCGGTCGTTGAGGAAGCCGCGCACCATACCGCCGGTGCCGCCGTAGCCGTCGACGACGAGGACGAGACCGTCGAAGCGTCCGGCCGTGTATGCGGAGCTCATGCCGACGTCGGCAGAGCCGCCGTTGGTAAGCCAGATGTTGAGGTTGCCGCCGGCGCGCTCGGGGCCGTTGGCTCGGAAGTCAATGTCGGCGATGAAGTTCTGGTGCATCACCTTCTGGGTGCTCCAGATGGAGCCGCGCTGGTTGCCAGGCGCCACGGGTGTCAGGATGATCTTGTTGGAGAGGATCTCGGGCTGGTTCGGTTGTCCCTGGAGGACAAAGTTGGGGACGTGGCCGTCATTGTTCGGTGATATGCTGTTGAGGTTAGCTGAGCCTCGGTGGCGCCAAAAGGGGGGGGGGGGGTTGTTTGCAGTCCTACCTGCCAGAGTAGCCAAAGCTGAGCTCGTTGATGAGGTATTGAGCTTGTGTGAAGCCTGTGCCGAGCAAGAGGGCGAGCGTCGAGCTCAGGGGAGCTTGCGACACACGCATCGTGGGTGGTTCGAGGCAGCGCGGGAGCTACCTAGTGTGTGTGGAGATGGGGGGTATCAAGTGCAACAACGAAGCCGGCCGTATGCCCACGAGGACGATCAATTGTATATTAAAATACAGGAATGCAAGGTCCTGCAATGCTGGCAGAATGTAAGAAAAATAAAAAAGTGCAGACGACGATGGGATCCAGAAAAGCGTGGGAACAATGTGGTTGGAAACCCGCCCAGTCGAGAAACTCCCAAGCAGGGGTTGATGGTGTGTGTCTGTGGGTTGAGGACAGGTTGGCACTAAAAAGCGTTCAAGACAGCAGCAGCAGCAGCAGTAACAGCCAGCTATGCGGATAAGCTCCTGGGCTGCCCTTTTTGGACGGGGCGTTTAGCGTTATGAACGTTGGATTCTTGAGGAAAGTCAATTGCACTGCAATCAAATTAGCTCTAGCGGCAGGTCGATGGTATCCCTCTGCGTCATCTCAATATCTCTCAGGTCGTGAAGTCTCGTGATGATGGACTCCAAACCACGAGCTTGGATTCCGTTTCGCTGTCTCAGAGCGTGCCCAAGAGCTTTTGCTGGAGACACTGGCGAAAATAAAGGGACCCTGGTCCACCAACCTGAAGTTGCATGGCCCGAGCTGGAATGCGAAAGGGATTCTGGAAAAGAAAGACACTTTCTGCTCGGTTCCTTCCAGACGTGGCGGGGAGCTTCTTTGCCATTGTCATTGTGGCTTTGAATATGTGGCTTGTATGGGGTAAGGGAGTACGTATCGTTAAAGAGTCCCGTCGCGTCTCCAAAAGACGGCAACTGTGGTTTCACCGCGATATCGCACGGGCCCAGCGTCAATCCCTGCCCATGGCCCCTTCTCCAGAAAAAAAAAACCCCCCAAGCTGCAGCTCCTTCCCATTGAGCAGGACCCCTGACGACACCGACCAAGGTGGCCTGTGAAATTCCTCCCACCTCCCGACCACTGACCACTCCAGTGAAGCTCTCACGGCACCGCCCAGATCAATGCGGATTACCTACTGACCGGTTCTCGAACGCGCCACAATGGCCGAATCGTATCCAACCCTCACGCAGTGTGCCCTCGTCGCCGGCGCACTCAAAGTCCTCCTCTTCCCGGCCTAGTATGTGGTTGCTTCCCCTCCAGCTCGAAAGACTCCAGCTGACACGTCGCGCAGCAAATCCACCGATTTCGAAGTCCACCGCAACTGGCTCGCCATCACCAACAGCCTCCCGATATCAGAATGGTACTACGAGAAAACGTCAGAATGGACCCTCGACTACCCTCCCTTCTTCGCCTACTTTGAGTGGGCCATGTCCCAGGTCGCCAAGCTCGTCGACCCGGCCATGCTCAAGCTTTACAACCTGGAATACGATAGCTGGCAGACGGTCTACTTCCAGCGATGGACAGTCATTATTTCTGAGCTGGTTCTCGTTTACGCGCTGCAGCGGTAAGTTTGCTTGTGTATCCGCCGCATCGACTGTAAGCTAAGGTCCAGGTTCATCGACTCTGCCACCGGTCCCACGAGACGGGCTGCCCAAGCTGCCGCCATCTCCATCCTGTTATCGCCCGGTCTCCTCATCATTGACCACATTCACTTCCAGTACAACGGTGCCATGTACGGTGTGCTCATCCTGTCACTCGTGCTGGCCAGATCCAAGTCGGGCTTGCTGGGCAGCGGATTGGTCTTTGCTGCGTTGTTGTGCATGAAGCACATCTACCTGTACCTGGCGCCAGCCTACTTTGTGTTCTTGCTGCGCGCATACTGCCTCTCGCCCAAGTCCATCTTTAGGATTCAGTTCTTCAACTGCGTCAAGCTGGGCGGCGGCATTGCAGCCATCTTTGGTGCTGCTTTTGGCCCGTTTGCCGCCCTGGAACAAATCCCCCAGATGATGAGCCGACTGTTTCCCTTCTCGCGCGGCCTCTGCCACGCCTACTGGGCTCCCAATATCTGGGCGCTCTACTCGTTTGCCGATCGCGTTCTGATCTATGGTACGTTTGATCACCACAGAACTAATCACGCAATAGACTGACACGTGCAGCCGCACCGCGCCTCAACCTGCCAGTCAAGGCCGAAGCAATCAACAGCGTCACCAGAGGACTCGTCGGAGACACAGCCTTTGCCGTCTTGCCAGAGATCACCCCGCGGACCTGCTTCGCTCTAACGCTCTTCTTTCAGGTGCTGCCATTGATCAAGCTCTTCTTCCAAGCACCCCCCACATGGGATGCCTTCATCGGGGCGGTAACGCTCTGCGGCTATGCTTCGTTCCTTTTCGGATGGCATGTGCATGAAAAGGCCATTCTCTTGGTCATCATTCCCTTCAGCCTGATCGCTCTCAAGGATCGTCGTTACCTTGGCGCGTTCCGGCCGCTGGCGGTTGCCGGCCACGTATCTCTCTTTCCCCTGCTCTTCACCTCGGCCGAGTTTCCAATCAAGACGGTGTATACCATCTTCTGGCTGGTGTTGTTCCTCATGGTGTTCGACCGCTTGGCTCCGGCTTCGCGCAATGCGAGATTCTTCTTGCTGGACCGGTTCAGCACGTTGTACATTGCCGTCAGCATCCCGCTGATTTTCTACTGCTCGCTGCTCCACCAGGTTGTGTTTGGGAAGCGATACGAGTTCCTGCCACTCATGTTCACCAGCTCATACTGCGCTGTAGGCGTGGTTGGTAGCTGGATCGGATTCATGGTTGTCTATTTCACGTCATAAAATGTAGGTATTGCTACCTTAGGTAGGCATAGAATTACAGTCGAGACAAATACGGTGAAACTCTTGCGTGCCAGTGCCACTGAGTTGCCGGAGGTCCAAAAGAGACGCTTGGTCCCGTGGGGGCCTAGCTGGCGGGAGCCAATGAAAACTTGCGTCTCACGTGCCTGGAGGCTGACAGCAGCACCGGCTCCACTACAAGTACCTTGCCAGGAGGGAAACTACATTTTGGAGCTAACGGCTGAGCAGGGGGACCGGGGGTCGTGGGCCATTTGGACACAACCCATTGTATACCACGAACAAGCCAAAGAACAGAACAGACACTTGTCGTGCACAGTTTGGGCGATGCACTATCGGAATTTGAGTGATTGACTGTGGTACAAGGCAATTGCGCCAAAATCACTTACACGGAGCCTGGAGGCCCGGAGCGGCCACGGCGGACCATCCCGGCGTTGATATCATGACCGACAGGCCGCGCTGCGTATCGGTCACACCTGTAATTATGTAGACGAGTCCATAACAATGTAACAGTTTGTATTGGAACGTTGAACCGCGTTTGTATGTCATGTGGTGGTAGAACGGTGCTCATCCGGAGCTGGCCCCGAGGAGGCAATTAACGAAAATTAGGCTACCCGCCAGGACCGGAAGACGTGCAAGATATATCACGGCATTAATCGACTAAATCGTGGTGTTCATGGCTAGTTGAGTGCTCAATCGAAAGCCCCAGCCATGGCGAGCCCAACGAGTACAAACTCGCGGGTGGCCGACGCGGTTGTGGGATTCCCGAGGCGGACGGAGTCGTGGCGGGTGGAGGAGGGTAAGGAGGCCTGGTGCGCAGGCGCCTGGGAGATGGGATGCGGAGGCACCGTGGGCCGAACGGGCCAAGCGGGCCAGGACCGCTTTTCACTGGCGCCCTTCTTCTCTTTTTCCCTTTCCTTTCCTCCTCCCCCCCAAGGCTCACCACTTCCTTTCCCACCTTTTGTTTTTTTCCCCCGTCGTTTCACCCACGACTCGCAGGCTGCGCGTTTTCTCACCAACCCGCGACCACAACCACGAACCATCGATACCGTCATTTATACAGCCATCTCCGACACGTCATCTGCGAGCCGCACCGCGTCCCCCGCGAGTCTCGCGTGTAAGTGCACCCGCCGACCCGTCCTCCCCCTGCCCGACACCCACGACCGCGCCTCCGCTCGCTCCGGCCGCGACCACAACACACCCGCCAGACCGCCACAACGCGTTTCCTTTGCCCAGCAAATGGTCCTCGAGGTTTTATAGGACCACTTGTACGGTTGAAGACAAGGTTGGCTGGATTTCAGCCCCACCGCGCAATCGGATCCTCGAATCTTGGGCCATGCCATTGTAGCCAACCGCCAACATGGTACGGCCTCCCGACGCGCTCTCCGGGGTCGCAGATCGCTGACTGGAGGTATAGGTTCTCTTCAAGCGTAAACCGGTGCAGTTTCTGGCCCCCAAGGACGTCAAGGATGATAATTCAGAGGTTCGCAGAGTGACATTCACAAATAATGCGACGAATACTGATGCAGGCTCCCAGGTCTGGCATATCCCACAGACCGGCGAGGTCTTTGCCCAATATGAGGATTATCTTACCAGGTGAGCTTTTTTTTTGTCGTCACTTTTTTGTTTCCTTTTCGGCTTCAGCTAATGCGGTGAAGAATGGATTTCTACAAACAGGTACGTCCCAGGCCAGGTGGGGCTACGGGCCAAGACTAACCCCAGCGCGTAGCGGCGCTTCATCTGCCAGATCACAGGACACTCCGGCCTGACTTTTTTCGAAGCACTCAAGAGCGAAGTGCGTCCCGCCATCTTCCACTACCGCGCAAACCTGCTGACATGGCAATAGCTCGCCGGTGCCGAGGAGGTGGAACAAGCGTTTCCCGAAGCTCTCAAGGGCCCCGTCCTGCGTCGCGTCCAATTCCAAACGGTGTCCCGAATCGATGCGCTTGTCGACTTGGTGTTTGACGAGTTTAGAGCCGACTACTACCCGGGCGAGGCCGTGACCGTCAGCACGGCGGAGAGCGAGAGATTGCAGGGCGTCGTGCGAGAAAAGACCCGGTTCGGCGGCAAGATTTTGCCAGACGGCACCCAGACCGCCCCCTACACACGCTATACGGTCAGCTTGGAGGAACGCCCCGGGATCGAGGCCGTGGTCGACGATGACCATATTTTCCGCGATCGCAAAATATTTACAAAGTCGGTTCTGCGCTCCTTCATCAAGAAGACGGTGACGCGTGAGGCATGGAACGGAGCGCCGTGGCTCGTGAAGCACGATGTGGCGGCACAGTACCACATCGATTCCCGGGTCCCGCCTCACCTACGCTACGATACCAAGTTGATGGAGAGGAAGCAGCTGCAGGCCCAGAAGCGCGCCAGCCAGACTCCGACGCAGGACGGCAACGGCACCAACGGCGTCAACGGCGCCATCCAGAACGGCCCTGCGCGGCTACCCGAGCTGAAGCCCGCATTCAAGGGCCAAAAGGGCAAGCATCAATCGCCAGAGTTCCCTCAAGGCCAGAATGGCTCGCCAAACATGGCCTCCGAGGCCGGCATCTTCCACGCCCCGCCGCACAAGAACCCCTTCCAGCTGCCGCTCAACTTCCGGAATCAACCGCTACCGCACTCCATGACTGCGCCCGAGCCACCGCCGCCGCCGCCACCGCCAAAGTACCCCATTGAGGATCTCCAGGTGCCTCTGAGAGAGGGCGTCGTTAGACCCGCCTTGGCGTTCCTCTGCAACGACCCCCCGACTGCCTCCGATGTGGCCGTGAATGGTAACGCCAGCATACGCGACAAGCTGTCGATGAAGTCGATTGGCTCGTTTTTGGAGACGTGGGACACCCTGAATGTGTACTGCGAAATTTTCAAGCTCGACTCGTTTACGTTTGACGACTTTGTGGAGGCCATGTCTGTAGCATCAGAGGAGACCAAGGTCCAGCTGTTTGAGGAAATCCACTGTGCGGTGCTCAAGCAGATTGTGAGTGCCGAGGCAGACGGCGGCAAGGTAAACGTCCAGCTGCCCGAGCTAGAGGACGAAGAGGAGGACTCTGAGGAAGACGAGGATGAGGAGGAGACCAAGGAGCCAACCCCGGAAACCGATCGGCCGCCTGCAAGAGCCACACGAAGCAGTCTCGCCAAAGCCGAGGCCGAGAGGCTGCTGGCCGAGGCGAGGGCAGCGGAAAAGGAAAGCCAGAATGTGGAGCCCGAGATCAAGCACCGCGCCGAGGACCTCCTTGAAGAGTACGACTGGATTGAGGAGCTCAGGAAACGCAAGTTCCAAAACGGCGGCTGGGAGAGAATCGTCGTCGGTCTGCTGCACCAGCTCTCCAAAAATGAGAGGATGGAGGAGCAGTGCGAGGATTTGCTCGCCCAGCTGTGTCCCCCCGACGAGGACCCCACCCAAGAGACGGTGCAGGAGCACTATGCTCGACTCGACGTCAACTACCGTGTGCAGGCGCTGCAGATCATCTGCATGCTCACAACGCAGACCAAGGCGATGCGTACCTACATGGAAGAATGCAGCGAGCAAATGACGGCTTTTCGCAAGGAAAAAATTGACTGGCAACGGCAGAGGAAGCAGGCGTAGGTGATACTAGACGTTTTGGTGAATGCATTACTGACCCCCCAACAGCATCGAGGAACTGCGTGCTCTCAACGACCAGCGCAAGATAATGCTCCCCGACAACATGCCGCCGTCGCCGCCTCCCGAGCCAAAGGCAGACGAGGATGTCAAGATGACGGACGCGGACGAGTCGGCAGCTGACGCCGCCGACGCCGAGGACGAAGTGGCCGACTCTGACGAGGAGGGAGCACCCCGCAGGAACTTCCGCCGTGCCAACGACCGCGCCGCGGAGAGGCAACGCAAGCGTAAGGAGGAGCTCGAGCGGAAAGAAAAGGCTGCCGAAGCCGCAAAGGCACCCAAGCAGTCGAAGCAGTTCCTTAAGGTCCTCAAGGATATCCAGAAGAAGGAGGACTTTATCAAAAAGTGCGAAGACGAGATCGCCGTGATCGACAACGACCTCCGCGAAGCCGACTGTGGCCGGACCCGTGTTTTGGGTAAGGACCGATTCTGGAACCGGTACTACTGGTTCGAACGCAACGGCATGCCGTACGGGGGGCTCCCGGATAGCTCAACCGCTGCCGCCGAGTACGCCAACGGTTGCATATGGGTGCAAGGCCCTGACGAGCTGGAGCGCCAAGGGTACATTGACACCGACCCCGAGTACCAGGCCGAGTACCAAACCAAGTTTTCCATGACGGTGCCGGAGCGGAAGAAGTTGGAAGAGGGCCCCACCAGCGTCTTCAACGCCCATCAGTGGGGCTACTATAGCGAGCCGGAGCAGGTCGATGAGCTCCTCAAGTGGCTGGATCCGCGGGGCTTCAACGAGTTGCGACTTCGGAAAGAGATCGTGGCGTTCCGGGACAAGATTGTTCAGCACATGGAGAACCGCAAGACGTACCTCGCCGCCGCGGAGCCCGAGGAGCAGCAACAGCAGGAGGAGGAGAAGAAGGAAAAGGAAGAGAAGGAGAAGAAGGGCAAGAGGCGCGACTCGAAGCGCATGAGCACCAGAGGCCGCCAGCACGAGCCGACGCCCGAACCCACAAACTACCGCTGTCTCGCGTGGGAGAATTCCACGGCCATGGAGGAGCTCGGCCATCTCCACTCGGAGCCGCCTCCGCCTCCGAGACCAAAGAAGCAGACGGCCAAGAAGCGACAGGCCGTGGAGCCGTCGCCCGAACCCGCGCCCGCTCCCAAGACGAGACGGCGTAAATAGGCAGAGCACCCTGCTAATGATCGACTGCGGGCTGCCACTGTAGGCAGTCTCCGTCTTCTTTTCTTAACTGTAATTATAGACACGACGATACAAGGGACACTGCTGGCGCGCGGGTTGTGTGAGCCGATTCCCCCCCTCCCCCCCACAGTTAGATATGGTTGGAGTTTTACGAGCCGAAAACGGGCCTGGCTGAAACAAAGAAAAAGCGGTGTTGTTTTTTTGTGAGCAATCGAAAAGGGTGTCGTGACACACACAGCATGGCCCGACGTTGGTGAAGGATTTCCATTTAGCATTGGGCGGGCTGGCTGTATCTGGGCGGACGGCGCATGTGGTCTCTGCATATTCACTACATGGGGCCAGGATTATAGACTCTCCAAAAGAATCATTTTGATGACGATGCTTTTTTAATATTGTTACCAAGTGAGTTTGCGAGCCCTGGTGATGTATTTTTTTATCTATCAGTCTGGGTGCTGCGATCTTCGCCCGAATCTGGGCCTAGGGTGGCGAAGCTCCTCACCAAAGATCCTTGCCGGCATGGGACGTGACATGTATCCTGCTACTGCTCTTCACCTATCTACAGAGTGAGTCTGTCTGCCACGTACCAATTGGGCTCGAGGCTTACATGTCAACACATATCGGTACGTCTGCTAACGAAGCAACTAGCTGGGGGTTTCTAAGTTGCGGAGGTTTCAAAAGCTGTGGAGATTTCCACAAGGTGAGACCAATAACAGTGTGCTTCTTGGTACTACCGCCGACTTCTGAGAGTATGACGAGCGACCTCAGACTGGAGTCTGAGTCCCTTCCAGTGTCCTCGACTGCTTGGTGCCGTGCTCGGGTCGGCCTGTCCTTTGTTTCTTGCAGGGATACTCTAGTAGGCCTGGCGCCGAATGCTTGCGCTTTCTTGTTTGGCTTTGCGTGGCTGACGAGTAGCTGCACAGCGAGAGCGTGCGTGAAGATGTCTCGTCGTCGGAGAACTCGTCGTCGGCGTCATAATCGTAGTCTTCGTAATCGTAGTTTTCATAATCGTAGTTTTCAGCATCGCAAGTTTCGTCGTCGTAGTCCTCATCTTCGTAAGCTTCATCAGATGCCTCTTCGTCGTCTGCCTCTTCGCAGGCCTCCTCGTCGCACTCTCTACTGGCAGCCACCGGATAAAACCGCTTGCGAGGCATATTCGCCGTCCACTCAAAGTCTGCCTCATCCTTCCACCAGTGCCCGCGGCGCGCCCTCTCGAGATACTTGAACGGAATCTCATACCCGCTCACGCGCGTGGGCTGCTCTTCCGGGACCAAATGCCTAAAGTTGTACCGTCGGATTTCTTTGGAGAGCTCGTCGGCCTTTTCGTTGCCAAGGATACCAACGTGGCCGGGACACCAGCACACAGCGACCCTGATATCCCTCTCATCCCGCAGAGAGCCGCACGCCTCAAAGGCGCGTTTGACGAGGGGGTCCAAGGCGCTGGGGTACGAACCCTCCGCTGCGGCGAGCGTGTTCATGACGTCTTGACAGTCGGAAAAGACCGTCACCCATCTCAGATCCGGCATCAGATGGGCCAGCAGCGTCGCCGTCTCGAGCGCCGCGACGACGGCGAAGAGTTCTGCTTGGCGGGAGTTGTGGCATGCGAGGATCTGGAATGCGCGGGAGTGCCACGGGTCGGCGGGGTCTATACACGGCCACGGCTTCCAGAAGACGGCGGCGCCTGCTGGCGCGGACGGCGTCGAGGGGCCCTTGTGCCAGTTGTGTCCGGGGAACGAGGCGTCGGCGAAGAGGTGGAGGGTGTGTTGGCTTGGGTCCGCGATTGATGCACACGTAGGGCTGATGCGGGCTAGAGGGTTTGGCAGAATGATGAGGTCGCCTTTGAACGTGAGACTGGGAGAGGCGGTGGTCCCCGTTGAGGTTGTCGTATGATCCTGTACCGGAGGATTCGGTGTAAGTGTAGGTGACTCCATTCCGATTGATGACGATGGCTGGGCTATATTTTCGTGAACCTCCATACTGGCCTGTCTTGCGAAGATGAATTTAATTACAAGCAGTATCTAGCGGCCCTTAGATTATGCTCAATGAATACAGACGGGAAGAATGTAAGGGACATTGAGGACAAGCATCCTGGGCATGGGCGTCCAGAGTCATAGAATTGAGCTCATGTATCTCCGGTGATTATCAGCCCGTCCAACGTGACCCAAGATGATTGCAAATCTTAATCTAGGCAAAGACCCATCATCTTTGATCTCATTGAGAACCATTATGTCTTGGAGGCTTCGGGTGCACATTGGTTTAGATTCAGGCGAGCAACCTCTTTGGTGGAACGAGTCCATATTATGAATGGACCACATACACCAAAATCATGTCCAACCGGTACAACAAATTTCGCGATAGCTTCATTTCAGTAAAGAGGTGGTCGTGGCCATCTCGCACGTTGTCTCGCAATGACGTCATGGGTCCAGGACCCCTACTTTACTGCAGCGAGCTAAACCATTTCTGCTACCAGACCCGCTTCCATCGCATTCCCTTTTCGGAATGCGAGGTTCAGCCCACTGTCTGATTTCATCTCACTCGTGGACTCTCCGCCACGGAATAGACTCACTCAACTTCATCCTGTCGACAGCTTCTCTAGCCAAATGGGCAATCATCTCATTCTAAATGAATTTCCTGGCTCATCGGTGCTCAAAAATCTCACTTCGACCCTCCCCTGCAAACCCCCTTTGAACCACTACACGGGACGACCTCGACGATGCCAGCATCCAACCCCTCCACCTCCCCAGACGCCACGCCTCTGACCCTCCGCTTCATCGATCCCGCTGACCCAGCGCCAAAGAAGAAAAAGGCTCACAGGAAGAGCAGAGGAGGCTGCATACCATGCAAAAGGAGGAAGGTAAAGGTAATTGGTCCCAATGTCTCTCAGTCGAGGTCACCCAGACTCACAAGACTTACACGGGATCCAGTGCGACGAATCAGCCCCCTGCGCGAACTGCATCCGCCGCAACGAACCATGCACACGCCCGCAAAAGTCCTCCGCCCCAGAGACGACGTCGTCCTCATCGCCCGCCGCCGCCGCCGCCGTCGGCACGGGACCGGCACGGCCGGTAGACGCCTCGGGACCCGTGAACCTCCTCCACATGCAGCTCCTCCACCACTTCCAGCATGCGACGATCCCCACCCTCTGCTTCGCCGACGTCTGGGCGTCTGTCCTTCCGCTGGCCTTCCGGGCAGAGTACCTCATGACGGCCATCCTCGCCGTCTCGGCGCGGCACCTCAGCACTCTCAGACCAGAAGACGCCGTCTACGGGGAAGCGAGCCTGGCTCTCTTGTCCCGCAGCTGCGCGCTCTTTGGCGCCGAACTCGGCCGTGACGACGGGGCTGGGGGAGGGTACGACTCTCTCTTCTTCACGGCGCAGCTTATACACTATCTCACGTGGTGTAATTTAGAATTCGTCGATGGCTCTGACAATACCGACACCACTCTAGACCAGTCCCGGGACCAACTCTTCCTTCTCAGCTCCGGCGTGAGGATCTTCCTCTTCGGGACTCGGGCGCAGGGCCAAGACAGCATCTTTGCCAAGGCATGGCAGGACGCCCCGTGCGACGCTCTCGACAAGATCGTAGCGGAACAGGGCATGGATCGCGGCCGGATCCAGAGAGCCTTTCTAGATCGATACGATGAGATGACACCCAGAGGCCAAGGCACCACCCCGGAGCACCACAGCAACGCGGACCGTCAACGCGCCGCCTTCACCGGCATCGTGGAGCGGCTGTCCGTCATAATGGCCCTCTGGCAACACCGCAGCACGAATCCCCAGCCCCCCGCGACGCCCGACCTCGAGCGGTACGTCCTCGCCTTCCCGCTGTTTTGCTTCGGCCCGTTCCTCGACATGATTGTCGCAAATGACCCGAGGGCGCTGCTTGTATTGTACCACTTTTATGAGACCTCGCGATTGCTTCTCGGGGAGGACGACGAGGAACCCACGTGGTGGGCGTGTGACAGACTCAGTGCCATGCCAAAGATGCTTGAGCAGGAGTTGCGTAGGAAGGGTATACAGCCTGTGGTGATGTGATCCGGATCTCGGGATGAGCCCGTTGTTTGATTCAGGATTGTGGCAATTGAGCCAGGGACAGACTGCCGTCACAGCACATTCCTCGCGTGGGGGATCGCCAGCCCTGGCCAAAACAAAAAGACGCTACCAGAAAAGATAAGCAAGAGATAAACAATGGCCCTTCCAAGGTGGCGAGAAGATTGAAGAATGTATCGTGGAATGCGGACCCAACCATCTATCGAAAAATCGCATACCAACCACCACAGCAAGGGGCGTGAGAAAGAATTACCGCCTACAACCCCCTCTCTACTAGCAAAGAAGCTTCGTAAATAGTCCAACAAATCGTTCCACTACCAAGAACGCAATCCTCCGACTACCAACGAGGCCGTCGCAGACTCTATTCCCCCTCCCCATCCCTCCCTCTTCACGCGCCGCCGCGTCTAAAAGTGTATGCCAGTCCAATGTGGCGTGCCGGAGCAACCCACCCAAAGTTGCCAAAACGGGCCAGCTGAGACGCAGGGAGCTCTCCCGATACGGTTAAAGCGCAGGATAGCTGGGCTAACTCCCAGGTTAGCGGTACCTCTTCCAACCACCAAACAAACAGCAAAACGCACGACCTTTGGAGGTTGCTAAAAATCCTCCCGCCTGAAACTCTCAGCATTTCTGTATCGGTGGCAGGGCGGGCTAGACGGAGCTAGAACGGGGTATCCACATTCGCGGGGTCCAGAACCGCGCCGGCGATCGCTCGACTTACAAGTTAGACTTCTTTTCTTAGCCCGGCGTCCGTGGTGGCGCTGGCGTCGGTTCCCTTTCTTCACGATAGCGGTCTCGAACAACCAGTGTAGAGTGACGCTCCATTCCGGAGACTTGGTGATATAGTATTGATGAAAATGTTTCTTCTCTGTGGGTATCAAAATAGATGTGACAAAACAAAACTCCGTTTACACACTTTTCCTTCCCGTGTGCTCCCTATGCATTTCTACCTCGGTCTGTACCTTTCCCATAACGCTCTTGTAATGAGCCCAGGGGCTCCCAGCCCCAGCTCAAACGGCCCCCTCACCGGCTGGCCTCTGTTGGACGATCTCGCCGGCAGGTATGGCGGGGGCGGCGACGGGCTTCGGGGGGAAGACACCGTTGTAGTGGTGGTTGTTGTCGTGGGGGACGCCGGCGGGGCCCCTTGAAGGTACTCGCTCAGCTCGCTAGTGTCCATCCCAGGCCTAGTGGCGTCCACCACATGGCTCGTTTGGGTGGCCGGGGCCGATGGGTCTTGATCGACCGTGCTCGCCGGTGATAGCGGGCTCACACTCGCATACTGATGCGCAGATGTCTCATTCCTTTGCGCGGTGCTGGACGAAGCTAGGGCGGCGAGCTCGAGGTCCTCCTCTGACCTACCCGCAGCGCCCCGCACGACGACGCCGAGCAGTCCATCCGTCTCATCCAACGCCCCCATCTCCTCCCGACTGGCCCGGCTTACTAGTGGAAAGTCCACCGAGTCTCTCAAGTGTGCTCCCAGCCTCATCATGGCAAAGGCGTCCAAGGTGTCGGTCCAGGTGGGCAGGCTGTAAATGTAGCAGACGAGGATGATAAGTGCAATGGCCTGCATGCTGATGAGCAAGCTAATGGCGACGGTGGCGCCTACGGTGTACCGCGGTGCGACAAATTCGGTGCCGGCCAAGTTGTAAATGGTCCTCGCCGCGTCGTTGGATGCTGCGTCTTGTAGGACGGCCACGTTGGACAAGTACATGCCGACGCCGAGAGTGCTCTGTGCCACCTTGACGTACTGAAGGCCTTGTGCGATCCGGAACAGTGTCTTGGGGAGCTCGGCAAGCGAGCATCCCTGGTATATGGACGAGTACCACGAGTCGTAGTCGTCGTTGTGAGAGTTGTACGGCAGCTGCCACGCACCGAGGGGCGTCGGCAAAGAGCACGCCCTGCGTTTCGCATCGCTGTTGGACGTGGTGTTGTCGGGAACTTGGCCATCCGGGAAGGTCTGACTCAAAAGATCGAGTACAGCTTGTGGGTATGAGCCGTTGCCAAAGAGCGCCTCGGCTGTTGACCGCAACGGACCTTGTGCAGATGTCCAGCCGGAGAATCGGTCGCGGTTCCAGTCGTCTCCAGACTCGTTGGTGATGAGGTTACCCTGCCAATCGTAGTCGTGGAAATGCGCTGCCATGTCTTCGTCCGAGGGCCACTCGCTGATGATGTCGGATGTCACAAGTCCCGTTTGAAGGTTGCCAATCTCGAAAAAGGCACGGCTGGTTTTGGCGACACACTTGATGGTGACGTTTTGAGCCGGTTCCGATAAAAAGTCCTGGGTCTTTGCCGCCTCTGGACTAATCTGCGCGTCAATGTAAAGCACTTCATGGACGTCTTGGCGTCGCCTCGGGGGAACCCCACGAGGTGCAGAGCTGGTGGTATTGCGAGGCATGCACGTTCTCACACTGATGCCGAAGCCTTGGAGGGACGTTGTATACCCGTCGCAGTTGGCGGGGTACTCATCTGCAACCTGGCAAGCTGCGGTTGAGCTGAGCCGAATTGAGTGCTGTCGGAGAGGTCCCGTAGTGACGCCAGCGGGAATTGCTGATACCCAGAAGGAGTCGTTGTACGTCTGGTCCTCTCCCGTGACGAAGCTCCGGTGGTTGTCGTCGACTCGCCACAGGTTTTCTTGGATGTCGGCTGACGTGATGTTGACCATCTTCGTTCTGACTGTGTTGACGATTTGAGATGCATTGGACTCTCGGAGCAAGACGGGCTCGGCATCCTTGCCAATTGTCTGGGCCGGTTGTCCCTTGCCGTCGCATGTTCTGTCCCATTTGCTCAATGGTCGGAAACTGTCGCACGAGTACACTGGGCGGCTCGATGGCCGCATCAGCAGTGACTGTAGTGGTGGCTGCACGGCAGCTGTTGCATGTTAGACGGAGTAGCCACCCCCAAAAGGCTTGTAACGTACTGAGAAGAAGCAGTCCGGTGGCCAGCAGGAGATAGGACGACGATTGCCCGCTGGAGACAAACGCTGTCCATTTCAAGTCGGAAATGGCAAGCAGCTGCCTCACGGTGAGGGTCTGCTGCTTTGATCGGCGCTGTGAGAAGACGACTGCGCCGTAGGCCAACAGCGCGGCAACGCACGGCAGAGCAATAACAGCCGCCACAGTGCTGAAAAACGAAGCCGCAGCGATCCAACGGTGATATGAGTCGAGGTCTTGCCGCATAATGATCCCCCACGGGTCGGATGTCGTTTTTCGGTTAATAACGCAAACGCAGAGCCATGGTGCGATGAGAAGCACCAAGTAGGTGACGAGTATGTAAATCGGGCGGCGAGCGTATCGCAGCGGTTGCCGAGACATGTCGACCGGCTTCGAAGCCGTGTATCTCGGCGGCGGTCCTTCTGTCCGAGTCTGATTCCTGTCCATCGTGACTGTCCTTCTTGGAAATAGAAAGGACGAGGAACAACAGACGAAGGAAGACACAATCGTATTATGGCAATTGCCATGATTGCTCAATTGGCTGTTTGGCGCCTTTTTAGTTTGCCGCGAGGCGTTTGCACGGTCGCCAAGGGCTGGCTGACGGCAGCTGACCGCAGGGCGAATGCTGCAATTTCCCTGCGAGCCTAGAGGAATGCGTGCAGGAATGGAGTGATGGGGCACAGCGCGCACAGCATCCTTCGGGACGACTGCTTGCCACGCATGTTTTGCTTTTGAGACCAGTCAGTGCGACGGAGCGGGACATGGCATAGCTCTGCCGGTGCCAAATAAAGAGTATGCAGGATAAAGCCGTCATTCGGACATTCTGTCGCATGTGCATCCCCACCCATGTGTGTGTGTTGATTTACTCCCCATTATAAGTGTCCTGGCCGTAGGTCTCGTTGAGTGTTACGCGCGTTATAATTTCTTCGTTTTCCATGCGGACCCAGCTCTCCACCGACATGTCTGGGTCGTCGCCCTGCGTGAAGGAGAGCTTAATCATCCGAGCGCCGCGTTCCCAGGTGCCATATCCGCCGTAGCCCGTGTGCTTTGCAAAACAGAGGAATGGGGCCTCGGCGCCGAGTCCGGCGTCGTGGCCGGGCCAGGTCGAGCACCACGAGTCGCCGTGGTCGTGCCCAACATAGATGCTGTGGAGACCCTCGGCCTCGAGCAGCGCCTCGACGAAGGGGGCGTCCTCTCCGCCCTCGCCTTGGATGGCTAGCGGGCTGTCGGCATTCAACCCAGGGAACTTGGCGGGGTCGAGGTTGGTCTGCTGGGCCGTCAAAAAGACGTGAGGGGGGATGTGGACAAAGGCGACGCTGGGAATGACACGGCCGTGCTTGTCCTTGAGGTCGTCGTAGGTTTTGGTAAACCATTCGGCCGTCTCGGGGGCAACCCAGTTTGGAATGTCGTCCATGTTATCGGAATCCGTCTGGTAGCTAGTGCCGCCCCGGCTGTCAAAGAACCACAATAGCAGAATGGGGTCCTTGGAGTCTCCCTCGTAGACAGGGACGTAGTAGTTTGTGATGCCCGGGAGATTGTCGCCCATGGACGTTGTGTAACAGAGGTCGTAGCCTTTTTCGGCACGGAACAGCTGCTCGCGGTCCAGCGTGTGCTTGGAGTCGTGGTTCCCGTAGACGGATGCCCACCGCTGGTTCGTCTTGAGGAGGGGCGCGACAATCTGGTCAATGTAGAGCGTCGAGTTCTCCTTGTGGGTATCCTCGCCAGTAATGAGATCGCCGTTGAATACGACGAGGTCGGGCTGTTCGCTCTTCATGACAGATTGCATGACTCTGGTGGAATTCTTGTCCTGGTCAATGCCCCAGCCAAATTCCTGCTCTCCGTAGTGCAGATCGGAGAAAATGGCAATGAGGTAGTCGCGCTGGCCCGACACCTTGAGTCTTGGCTTGCTTATTGACGGCTCCGTCAAAGGCCACTTGCCCGGCGAAATCTTGGTCATCATCATGAACATGGCCGCGAAGCTGATGGAGAAGACCAGGACGAGCTGACACACCCTCTCGGCTAGTCGAAAGGATGACTGCGGCGGGCGCGGCTGCACCG